GATTGCCGCCACAAAAACAGAAACGACCGGCGTTTGTGACGCAGGAGGGTGCCAAGTCACGAACCGAGCAAGAGCTGGTGTCAGATGAAGAAGCTTTATACGCAAGCGGCCTGACACAAGCAAATTTAAAAATTCACTCCCCAAAAAAGGAACACTCAAAATAAAACGATCAACTAAGATATTGGTTCAGACCACAACACGGAGGGGAGGGGGATGTGGGGTTGGCTTGTAAGTAACACCCTTAAATAAATAAATCCAAATGAAAGAATCCTGAAAGCATATATGTTTTCAGAATATCCTACAAGTATTTAATACGTAGCAGAAATCTGAGTAACACCTGGGCACCTGTCCACAAACCACTGTAGTATGGTCCTCCATGAGCCACACTGGAAATGTAACGATTGCATTAAGGACTACAACGCAATAAATTATTGAGGGCTGGAGTTTAAAAAGGACCATTTTTAGCATCAGACTGCAAAAATTAGCGCCCTGATCTTGTGTCAAGTTCCTTGTTGTCTCTCAAAGAAATAATGCATCAGAACAAAGTTTGAGTCCAGTGGCACCTTTAAGACCCACAAAGTTTTATTCTGTGTATAACCTTTCGTGTGCATGGACACTGGACTCAAACTGTGTTCAGACCAACTTGGCTACCCACCTGAATCTATTATATAGGTAGAAGGTTATATGTAATGGATGGTGACTTCTGCTTCAGTGTATCTGAAAAAGTGTGCAAGCACAGGAAAGCTTATACCCAGGATTAAACTTTGCTGGTCTTAAAGGCGCCCCTGGATTCAAGCTCGGTTCTACTGCTTCAGACCAACACGGCTACCCCACCTGGATCTAAATAATGGAATAATAAGCATGCGGTGATCTCTGAGTCCTAGATCTATGTAGTTATCTATCTATTACATTTTTATCCTGGCCCTCCACCAATGATCTCAGGGCAGCGTACATCGTTCTTCTTCTCTTCCATTCCATCCTCACAACAACCCTATGATATAATTTATTTATTTATTTATTATTTTAGATTTATAACCCGCTTTCCTGCACAGGCTGGCTCAAGGCGGCGTACAACAGGTTAAAATACAATAAAACACAAATACAGAAGTGCAATGCTATAAAATTCACGTAACAACAATATACGTACAAAGTGCAATTAAGTGCAGATGGCGATTGCTGTATGGTGGTCCAACATAACTAAACCAGTATCCATAGTTGTTCTTAGTGCCAATAGCATAAGGGCCGTAGCAGTTCAGTTTTTAATAGCTCATTACTTTTTCTTTTTTTTTGTGCCCCCCAGAGGGGATTTTTTATTGCATTTTCTATAAACTACAAACCACAACAAAAAAAGGTACAGGGTTGTCAAGATCTAGGGAGAAAGGAAAGAAACCCACTGTCCCGAGAGCGAGTCTCCCCAGGGATAGCCTCCGCTGCTCGGGACTCTTATACCCCCAACGCCCCACCCACCGGCCCCCTTGGCACTCTCAGGAAGGCAGGGGCAACCAACCCCAACGCCGCTGAGTCCCCCAGGCCCCGGCCAGCTACGAACAGACCCGCAGGATGATGCCACCCCAGACAAGAGGCCGGCTAGGGGGAAGGAAGCCTCCGGAAGAAAACAGGGAACCACGCCGGGCCAGTGGCCCGGTGCGAGAGCCCGCCCATGGCCCAGAGCAGCTTGAGGAAGGAGGAGTGCTGAGCCTGCCCGCCCGGCGGGCCGAGAGCAAGCGAGCGGAGAACGTACCACACCCACGGCTCAGTGTCTCGGCATAAGAGGAGTGGGCGGGGCCACAGGGGAGATGCAGAGGGTGGAGCACTGGGGAGGGCAGGTGACATGAGGGAGGAATAAAAGAGAATCAATAGCAGAGGTCAAGGAGGATGTGGCACAGGTGACGGGCGAGCGGACAAGCGGAGAGAGAGTTTTGTCTGATCTGCCAAGGGAGAGAAGAGCTTGGGGACGTAACCTCCTCCTCTTCCACAAGTCTGAGGTTTCTGCGGTTCCTCCGGGAAGGTGGGGCACGGTGGCTGACAACCAACAGCTAGACGTATCGAGCGACAGCGATGAGGGGTTGTCGAGCTCGTGTAACAACCACTAATAACTAAAACTCCAAGTATAGGAGATCATTACATCAGCTTATATAAGTGTTAATCTAAGATGCTAGTATTACATTGAACATAGTCGATTAAGCTAAATTATTTATCTTTTTAACCATTTTTTTCTAACTGTTTAAAGAGAACCCCAAGAGCAACATTTACAATATATGCTTTAAGGCACCATTCAGAGTTCTTCAGCCTTCACTTTGTTTTTTTCTAATCTTCAATTGGTATTCTTGCTTAGGGGCTGCCCCCCCCTTCTGAAGCAGAGTTCTCGTCGGAAGGCACTGAGTCCATTTCGTCACTAAGTTTGCTGTCATCTTCTTTCTTGGCGTCCTCTTCCGGTTCACCCAGTTGCAGTCTCATAAGCTCACGCGCTTTGGAAACAGAGCCAATCTTTTCTTTTTTATCCTGTAGTTTGAAAATGACACCTTCCGGGGTCAACCATTTGTATGGGATGCTGTTTGTCTGTAGAAAGAGGATTAAGTTCTTGTACTTCTTTCTCTTCTTCCTTATTTCAAATGGAATATCTTTTAAAATCCGAATAGTATTGCCTCCAATTTTCAGTGGTGTTCCTGAGGTCGCTTTCAGGATTAAACCCCTTACATGTCTCTTCGAGAATCTCATCACTATCTCTCCAGGCAGATTATTTTTTTTAATGTAAACAGAGTAGGCCCTGTAGACCATTTCTAATCTTCAATTGGTATTCTTGCTTAGGGGCTGCCCCCCCCTTCTGAAGCAGAGTTCTCGTCGGAAGGCACTGAGTCCATTTCGTCACTAAGTTTGCTGTCATCTTCTTTCTTGGCGTCCTCTTCCGGTTCACCCAGTTGCAGTCTCATAAGCTCACGCGCTTTGGAAACAGAGCCAATCTTTTCTTTTTTATCCTGTAGTTTGAAAATGACACCTTCCGGGGTCAACCATTTGTATGGGATGCTGTTTGTCTGTAGAAAGAGGATTAAGTTCTTGTACTTCTTTCTCTTCTTCCTTATTTCAAATGGAATATCTTTTAAAATCCGAATAGTATTGCCTCCAATTTTCAGTGGTGTTCCTGAGGTCGCTTTCAGGATTAAACCCCTTACATGTCTCTTCGAGAATCTCATCACTATCTCTCCAGGCAGATTATTTTTTTTAATGTAAACAGAGTAGGCCCTGTAGACCACGTCCATTTCGCTTATAAGATATTCCGCTTTTAAATCTGTAACTGGAGCTAATGCATCACTTAAGAGTTGTTTTAGATTCTCATCTTTAGATTCAGGGACCCCTTGGAACCGGAGGACCAGGTTAGCTTTCTCCATTTGCAATTGTAAAAGTTGAAATTCATCCGAAGTTTGCTTCTTTTCCAGCATTTGCACCTTTTTCTTAACTTTTTTAGAGTTGGCATCCATTTCCTTTACTTTCTCAGCTGTTTGCTCTGTCTTGTAGTTTCAGACAGTTGGAGCTGCTGAGCTGCAAGGTTCTGATTTAAAGTTTTCAGCTGTTGATTGATGTTAGTCATCTGATCCAGTAGAGAGTGCAAAGAGTCTGCCCAAAGCTTAGAGAACTCAGTGGTCTCTTCTGGCCGTGGGCTCATGCTCCCCAGTGGTTTCACTTTTGCTTGTTTTTCTCTCTCCGTTTTTTCCCACACCATTTTTATGGATTGCTTACTTTTGTATAAATTTGTTAAAGTCTCTGAAATTCGCCCATATGCTTATCCGCGCTCTGGTAAATTTCTTTAACAGATTACTGCGTTTTAACTTCTGCTCCCCCCCTTGTTAACTCTCTTTTTAATTTATGCGTGTGGGAGGGGCCCCTCCCCCGTTCGCTTTTCTCGCCGTTCCCAGGGGAGGGCTTTCTTCTTAAATTATCAGCATTTTGCTTTTACTCGACTCACTGTTTGTTGTTGGTCATAAGACCTCACTTAAAAGTTCGTTTAAAACGCTCGATCTCCGATGCTTGTCCCGGTCAGCGGCTCTAGTCCAATTCGGATGCATAGCAGCAGGACCGTCGGGGCAGGGGAGTGCCTCAATTCCCCAGCAATGTGCTGGTGAAGAGGCCACCCTCCAAAAGCCCCATGGCTAGGAGCCTTTCACAAAGGCTCCGGGGGGTTGGCAAACAATCGCTCCCCCTCCTAACCACTAGCACGCAGATCACACCCCTGGGAGGTCCGGGAGGTGCGTCCGCCAGCGTGTCACCATAAACTGGAAGTCCTTCATAGCTCATTCCTCAGTGGCGGCTCCTGATTGAAGGCCTGGTGGAAGAGCTCCGTTTTACAGGCCCTGCGGAACTGTAAAAGGTCCCACTGGACCCTGATGTCTTCCGGGAACTCGTTCCACCAGTGTGGAGCTGCCACTGAGATGGCCCTAGTTCTGGTAGCGGCCAAGTTACATAGAGCCTGTGACTGGTTCAAGGTCTCCAGCAAGCTTCCGTGGCAATATAAGACTTGAATCCACATCTCCCAGGTCCTAGTCCAACATCCTAACCACTACACCACAGCTGCTCACCCCAGAATGCTAAGATATGACACTAACATGCTAGGCTGCAGTTACAGTCTTCAATATGCAGGATTAGTTCTACTCTTATTCTGGGGTGTGGGCGCAGAGAAAAAAAGACAACAGGATTAATGTGCTTCCGTGTCAGAAACTCTGTAGGTAGAAAAACTAGTGTGTCTGGCAAAAGTGTTTCTGTAGCCTTCTGCTGCACACACTGTACAACAGTACATTTAAAAAAAATCTGCACTGCCAGTCAAATCTCCAATAGCCAATCAGAAGCCTTGCTGGGCAAAAGCACTACTTGGCCCCACCCACCTTGGCGGGCACCAGAAAAGATGTCAGCATCTTTTTGGGGGGGGCCTGTTATAATATTTATACCTGGCCAGGGGTCTAGATTTCTTCACAGAATTGCCCTAATGGGCTGCTATTTCTGTTACTCACCTGCTCGGTCATAGAGAATGTGGGACCGCTGGAGTCCTTCCTTCACGTGATCTTCTGTGATGACTATTCTATTCGCAGAAGAACTGAGCATGCTGCTCTGATGGGGCAGTTGAGTTAGCTGGGCCTGGACAGCCATCTGGAGTCCATTCAATCCAGTTCTTGCATCACCATCGCAGAGGTAGGCAAGTGTGCTTACAGCTCTCTTCTCAATGCACATTCCTGATCTGGAATAAAAAAATTACACCATGTTGCTATTCATTGGTACGTGAGCTCCATGCACCTTACGCATTGTTCACAAGGCTACGCTGCTTTTGCACTGACTACACAAGAGCCAACTAGATTTGAGCTTCATCCTTATGAAATGCTGCGGTAGTCAAATGTCACAAGGGTCCTACAGCTGGTATGCAATCTATGTACCGTGCTCTAAGCACTGGTCTATGTTAAAATAGCTGTGCACGTTTCATCATCCCAAACCCGTGCGTGCTTACGGCCACACAATGAGCAAAGAGACCAGAGCGAACTGTCTTTTAGATACGTGATAAAAAGTGCAGCCATAGAACAGGGAGACACCGCAAATGTGTAGAGCTTATTTGTTGGCCTGTTTTAACGTTCTCCCCTCTGCTATTCTTGAGGGGAGATATAAGAAAATTCCTTATTCAGTCAGGTTTTGTGGACATAATAGAAGAGAAATAGAAACAGTTGAGCACGTACTCTTACACTGTAATTTGTTAAATGACATCCGAGTGGAATTTATAGAAGGCCCCCTTAGGTTGGTAGCAGGCCAACCGGATAGAAACAAGGTTCATTATCTCCTTGCTTCACGAGACCCGGAGATCATTGACCTGACCGCTATGTTTCTTCATGGTTTTATAAAACGGAAGAACGATTCTGAGCATATTAATGATTCTTAATTTATAATTTTTTAAAAACAACCTTAAGTTTAAAAGTTTAGATTTTAATTTATTGTACGACTCAGCTCTCTCCCGTATGGTCAAATCTATCCTGTGACATCTTGAGGTATGTTATAGGCCTGACATATCCTTGGAATGGTTTACCACGATTATCTATTTTATAATCTCTACTAGATTGTATTAATACTGGGAAATGTTTATTTTTAATACTGTATGCCAATAAAAGGTATTTGATTTGATTTGAACAGGGAGACACATGAGAAACTGAGCCCGCCAAACCAAAGTTTAATCTTTTGGAACCTGAAGAGTACTTGAACTATTACCAGGAAGTTTCTATTGAATCTGAACGGAATTCTAAAAATATGGTACCTTCCCTTCTTCGGCTTCAAACACACACCCCCCAGCCCTGAGGCTGTAGCTGTAAGAAATGTAGGTTACTTTCACCCCTGTTTATGGACACAAACTAACATCTAGGACACTGTTCTACACGTTCTGTATTTCTCTGGGCTTCTGTCCTCTTCGATGACTGCAGCTCAGCTGTCGGGATAAAGGTCTGCTATTTGCAGCACCATCCTAAGCGAAGTCGCACCCTTCTAAGCCCTTTCACTTCAAAGGATTTCACAGAGCATCTCTCTGCCCACGATGGCACTGCTGAAGGTTGAAAGCCACAACCTACTTCAATGAAACAGTACAGGACTGCTGCATCATATATTGTGTTTTATTAGTTGTTAGCAAGGAGCTGCGGTGGCTCAAGTGGTTAAGACGCTGAACTGCAGGCTGTGGAAGGTCGGTCGTTCAGCAGTTCGAGACCCGAGTGTGCTGCAGGACGGAGTGAGCGCCCGTCTCTAGTTCCAGCTCCTGCCAACCTAGCAGTTCGAAAGCAAGAAATTGCAAGTAGATAAATAGGTACCACTTCAGTGGGAAGGGAACAGCATTCCGTGTGCCTTGGTGTTTAGTCATGCCGGCCACATGACCACGGAAAACGTCTTCGGACAGCGCTGGCTCTTCGGCTTTGAAACGGAGATGAGCACCGCAACCCTAGAGTCAGATTCGACTGGCTTTCGAGCAAGGGAACCTTTACCTTTTTAGCAAGGAGGGAGAAGTCACAAGCCTGATGCCACAATATCTAGCTTTGGCCCTGTGTAAAAAGGCGGGGCAGGCGGACACAAAGGTGTGCTTGAAGATACCTGTAAGTCACGTATTAAAAACCAACATGATAGAAGCCTAGCTTCTGAAAACAGACCCAAGCTGTGTTCTACAAATCCTTCGCAAAAGACCGATAAAAAGGAACGAGAGACAGACGAAAGAGGAAACGGATGATGAGAAACGTCTCCAAATCCACAGGACTGTGACGGCACTGAAATTTAACGCAGTCTGCTATTAGGAAACGCTGCTTTCTTTCTTTTGAAACACACTTCCACTTTGGATATATGCTGGACAACACATGCAGAGACATCTAAAGATCTGTCTTTCCATTTTTAGTTACGATGTACTGACTGTGAACATTTTTAAAGCAGCTCATCAGGCAAATCCCATCAAATTATTTTTACCGGCAGGAGCTACCATGCTTTGGCACATCAAGTTCCCCAACAAGAGCTGTTTCCAGCTCTTGACTCACGGTGTCTGTCTAACAGGGATTAGAGGAAGGAGACTGGAGCAAGCAGCCGTTCCTTACCAAGTACATTGGCAGTGCAAATAAACCCCAGATTGCCAGAAGCTCTTGAACTTCGTTCAATGGAAGATTTATAAAATCGTCTACAAACAATCAGGGCTGGGGGGGGAAACCACCCTAAATTGATGAGCCATCTGAACTTCGACGGATTAAATTTCAGCAATAATTCATATATAGCCAAAGCCTGAAGAAATGTGCTTTTTAACATAATGAAGAGGGTGTGACTGAACGTCCAAGCAGCCTATCTATCCATCCAGAGGTAATTCAATTCCACGCAAGACAGTCTGCCACATTTTTATCTGGCTTTTTGTCCCGGGACCTCAGGGCAGAACACGTCCTTCCCTTCCCCATTTCTTCCTCTCAGCAACCTCACAACTGTATGCGGGGATTTGAAATGCTAAAAGGGTCAAGCTACATCCAGATAAAATAATACCAAAATAAATATTTATTATATGGAGTAAAAGGTAAAGGCTTCCCTTGCTCGAAAGCCAGTCGAGTCCGACTTTAGGGTTGCGGTGCTCATCTCCGTTTCAAAGCCGATGCTTTGTTCTAAATGCAATTTAGAACTATTCTGTGCGCTTGAAGAAAAATAAGTGGATCTTCCCCCCACCCCCACCCCAAGTAATCAAAAGTGCTACTCTCCATTTTTTGGCAAAGTGCTATTTGAACAGGAGCTTTCACTTAGCGTTGCCTACAAAGGCCCCAAATTCCAGGCTGTCGTATGTTGCAGGGAAAGAAACGTCAGCCAGCTTTGGTCTTCTCCACCCTGCCTTGCAGCAGCTCTCAAAGATCTCAGCAGGGGTCCTTCCTGACCCACGCTGTCTGCAAGCCTTTTAACCAGAGGCGCAAGTGTTTGAACCTGGGATGCTCTTCGTGCCAAGTGCCGGCTTTACCATCGAGCTATGCCCCCCTCCCCCTGCTTGACATTACTGAGGAATCCTTGATAGGCTTCCAAGGAACTCCGGCGCTTGCAACAAAAACAGAAACCATGTTAAATAAGACGAACGCAATAACTCGATCACAACAGTCTAATACAGCCCTTTGCAGAAGATGTCAAGTGTCATACACAGTTTGCTTCCCACAATTAAATAAGACTAACGCAAAAACTCGATCACAACAGTCTAATACAGCCCTTTGCAGAAGATGTCAAGCGTCATACTCAGTTTGCTTCCCACAATTAGAAAAGACACCTTTAGACATTTATCTGCTATCTTGACATATTTATCGCTTTACAACCGTTGACCTTATAACCACGGCTTGTTATTTTTGACTCTGCATATCGTAAACATCACGTTACATGTTAATTTGCTGTTCAGTCCCTGTCTGTAAGTTTGAAACTTACCTACCATTCCAATGTCTTTGAAAAAAGTGTGCACACACACGAAAGCTCATACCTTGAATAAACCTTTGTTGGTGTCAGAACCCACAGCTCACAACGAAGTACACGCATTCAGGAACGGTTATACGTTTATTGCAAAGCTATAGATGCAGTAACACAGGCACTGTTAAGAATGGCGGCAACTATGGACAAAATGACAAGGAAACTTAACAATTTGGAAGCAGAAGATTTTTTTGCAGACTGGAAAGACTTTAAAGACTATTTGGAAAAGTATTGGGATGGTAAGGGACAATTTACTTTGCTTTGATAATTACTAAGGTTAAAGGATATTAAAAAATAGATAAAGATATAAGAATAAAAAATGGAAGGATAAGTTACCTATAGATGTGTGTAAAAAAGGGAGGGATGAAGAACATCTAAGAAACGAGCAGGAGGTTGGAGCACTGTGAAAAGCCGAGTTGGGGGGGGGGAAGGGAGGAGGGTAGGATGTATAACTATATAAGTTTTGATCTATGTCTGACTTTGCTTATTATATCCTAATAAAATGTTTTCAAAAAAAGAAGAAGAAAAATGGCGGCAACCCATTGAGCATAATAGGATATAGGGCATTCGTATGCACCCCCCATGGCATGGGCCAATTAGCTACCCTCCCGCGTGCGGGCCCAGCTAGGAAACCGTTAGGTGGCGACAGCTGGGAAGCAGTAGTCTCTCACGGTACCTAGGAGACTTCCAGACAATACAACCTCCAACATAACATCCTCCTGCACATCTGTAGAGATAAGCATTGCGCCACAGGCAGAACAGCAGAGACAGGAATGCAAGAGCAATTACCAAGACGCAGAATGAACCCCACAACCCCCATGGCAGCATAGCTGACAGTTGGTCTTAAAGGTGCCCCACTGGACTCTAAATTTGTTCTATTCAGGGCTTTTTTTGTAGAAAAAGCCCAGCAGGAACTCATTAGCATAATAGGCCATACTGAACAGCAGAAACACATTAGCATATTAGGCCACACCCCTGATAGCACAGCTGATTGGCATATTAGGCCACACCCCCATGTTACCAGAAGTGTGGTCTTTCAGCCACACCCACCTTTTGCTTCTTATTCTGTTTACCTTGTTTGTTGTCAAAACCCAGGGCCTTTTTTTGGAGCAGGAACTCCTTTGCATGTTAGGCCACACACCCCTAATATAGCCAATCCTAATGAGTTTCTGCCGTTGGGTGTGGCCTATTATGGTAATGAGTTTCTGCTGGACGTGGCCAACTCAGGAGCCAGCCGGAACTCCGTTCCTGTGCGTTCCT